CACACACACACACACACACAGTCTCCCACACGCCACAATTGTACATTGCTATGATATCTTCCTCCACAGTTGCTAGGCAACTATCTCCCACTTAAATAGCATTGGACACAGCTGAAGCAGAAGCTTTTGGGATAGGAATTAAATACAACATATTTCAAAACTGGTAAAATACACAATCGATTCACGACTCTTAGTTTCAGCCAGCTGCAGGGACATTATTAATAAACCGCTCACGACGGCGCTACAGTTTTAATTGTTGCACCTATAAATACCCTGGACGCCGCTCGCTGCGAGCGTGTGCGTGTGTCATCTCCCTCATTTGCTTTCTACCTCTGTTCCGAAGTCGATGGTGAAGATGGGGGAAGACTGGGAGGGCCTGTTGGCGTTGTGGTGGTGGTGATGGTGAGCCCACTGCTCCTGCTTCCTCCTGAACAGATCCTCGTAGCCCAGAGGAACTCGTCCGTAGTCCTGAAGAGGGAGCAGCGAGCGAGAGAAGAAGAAGAAGCAATGAGGAGCCGGAAAGAGAGAGAGAACCGATAATTATATGAACATAATTTTAATAACAGTAATATATTTGAACGTGTTAATTAACGGTTTAGCGATGATGACTGACGCAGTTAATGGCAGCCGATACTTAGCGCCATTTGGGGCTAAATTGGACCGCTGGCATAAACATGAATAATACAGCTGCTCTTTAAAGCATTTTACGTTGGGTCCACGCACAGGAGACAACACTGAGGATTGAAACAACTGTGCAATATAATGGACTGCAGTGCAAGAACCCCTTTTAAATCTGTCTTTTTGTATTAGGTTGCCTCGTAATGTAAGACCTTCCTGGTGTTCTGTCCCACCGTTGCAGTGTTTTGTACTGCAGTGTCTGACCAGTCATATAATTAAGAAATCTTTCCTTGGGGCTGGATTTCCAGTTGAGCCGAGCACCTGAATACTGCAAGGACTCGTGTCTTGCAGAATTTTATTTGATTTTTTTGCCTATTTGTAATTTTTAAGTTGCTTTCACTCTCCCGAGCCATCGCGGTTAATGCGGCCGAACACAGTTGGTAAAATAGTGTAGCAGCGTTACTGGCAAACGCTATATGATCTATGTGAGAAGCAGAGAAGTGAGTGGGAGAGGCAGAGACGTATTTGGGTGAGAAGTGGGAGGACCACAGTGGAGGTTGAAGCTACATCCTGCAGCTCTGTGACTGGCAGGGAAGGTGGAGGTGAGATGATGTGTGGGCGGAAAAAAAAAAAAAGAGAGAGAAAAACCGAAGGAGGAAACGGTTGCTGAAAAGAATGCAGCAATAAAAGCGTTCAGCGCAACACAGACCACCATCAATTAGCGCAGATGGTGTCACTGGATATACTGGATGGCACACGAGGGATGTATTGTGCTGTTGAGGAAAAAAAAACTGAGCAAGTAAATCAGTTTATGATGCACTCAGCAGAGACCATTTTTTAATCATTGCATGACTCCGTCGATTATGTCTCTTAAAGTGTGCCCACTTATCAATTATTCAAAAGGATCTTTTTCTTTTTTAGAATTACATTCTTTAAATGAATACTGTGTTTGCACTGCTTCTGACAACACTGGAATTAATGTCACCTCTTAAATCAAGTGCCACAATTTACTCCGATATAATACTCCAGTCAGTGCCGAATACTCTCCTTGGCAGAGACGTGCTGCTATTTTTAACGTACTAGAGCGGAACTTTGACTCACGCGCACAGTCAGGTTGTGGTTCGTTTCTGAGGTTATACGGCCACTTTTCCTACAACAGCAAGTTCTTATATTAGAACTTTATCTGCTTTATTTACTCAAAGTTTTTTGCAGAAAAACAAGGCTACTCAGAGAATAAAGGACAGTCGCGACTCGATAATACGACACTAAATGTAAAACCTTCTTTTATGTCGGATAGCAAGGCTGTCGGATTGTCAAGACGGAGGTGCAGATACAAGGAGGGCTTGATGCTGGAAGGCTCATTAGTTGTTCATATTTATTGTTTATTGTTGTTATAATAACTAGTATATTGTCAGAACACTACGCATCGCTGGATTTCTAATTGACCGGTGCGACTGTGCATGCTGCAGTCACTTTCACATCGTCGGAGCGCTCCAACGGGGTGGAAGTTGCCGGAACACACAGGCAGTACTTGGCTGCTGATGCTAGTTTAGTTAGCGCTCACACTTCTGTTTCCACCATCGGTGGCGGCGGGGGAGTGGCAGATACGCTCTACCGCCACCATCCGTGTTTACTTTCATAAACACTGAGCACGCTCGCTGCGTGTGACGTCGTCGTGTCCTCTTCTGTGCATGCGGGACACTTTTGGGTTGTATGAAGTTCACACAGCAGATCACATACAAGTCGCATTTAACTGGAAATGTGAACGAACTTGCAAGAAAATCGGATTTCACAAAGAAATCCTCATTGACCATTAAGTCCTGCAGTGTGAACGTAGCCAATCTGTGGGATTGTTCAGTCAGATAATACGCCGTTATCCTGATTGGTGACATTAAATGTCATGTCGGAGTCGGAATCCAAGGCTGTCGGTATGTTAAGGCTGTTTTTAATGGGTTCCGTTAGTTTTTCCTAGAAACCTGTCGGATAGCAAGGTTTAGGATTGTCAAGGGTCGGATTATGGAGCCACGACTGTATACAGATAAAACAGATGACATCACATAAAAGCTAGTCTAAAAAAAATGAGTTTTTAGAAGTGATTTAAAAGAAAAAAAGTTTATATTCATTAGTTAACTATAACTGATCAGGCATTAGACTGTCTGTATGAGTAGGTCATTTATATACAAACAGAACAGCTTAAATCTCTTAAATAGAAGATTATGTCCCTATTATCTTTGTGTCTTGTTATCTGTTTAAGCACGATTATACGGCGGGCTGCACACTGATACCCTAATTGAGTCTTTTTTGTAAAAAAATAAAAAAATGTTGCAGTCCAACTTTAGACTCCAACACTGATGAGCTCCAGCATCATGTACAGTAATAAATAACTGCGTTGTTAGCTTCTAAACAAATGAAAGGACAGTTTGCTGTCTTATAATCTTTGCTATTTAATATTATAGACTAGAAAGGGGAAAAAGGATCATTCACGATGCCGCTTAAGACAACCGGTGCCTTTTAAGGTGTAATCACACGATGCATTAGTTTACGAGGGTACTTGAAAAAGTTCTGCACCTCACCAAAAACATAAAGTCACAGCAGAAAGATTGTTCTTGCATTATTTACCAACATAGTCTCCTTTAACTTCAATGCACTCGATCCACCGACTGTGCAAACTATCCCTTCGCAGGAGAAGGTCACGTCTTGAGCCTCCTGATTCTCAACAGCATGCATGACCTCATCATCAGGCTGAAGGCGGCGACCACGCATATGGGATTAGAGCTCAGATAGGAGTCAGACGGTGCAGGTCGGGTGAGTAAGGTTCACGGGGCAAAAGCCACGTTTGACTCCTTCTGCCACCTGTGCCGTGTTACGCATCGTCCTGGAGCAACAGCAGCGTCGAGCTTTCCTCTCCGTTTTTTAGTTTAATTGCTTCGAACGTTTGAGTTACTGTGGACAGCGATGTATGACTTTATAGTATATAGTCATGAAGCAAAATGGGAGTCACGCACCTTGTTTTTGGGTGAGGCCAAGAACTTTTTAAAGCACCCTCATTCGTCAGTTAACACACTTTAAATATCAGTTCAGCAGCTCTGAACATTTACTTTGTTTTCTCTCTCCTGCTCCATTTAGTCATTACTGTATATGAATTTAAACCGGATAACATTCTATTTCGTTCCACTGCGCTGTGCAGCTGTGCCCCTTGGCCGCGGTATACGATGTACCTACCCTGTGTAGCCCTGCACGGTGTTCAGCTCCAGAACAGTAATTGCTATCCAGAGAGTTGAACCTCTCCCTGAGTGGAGGCTGGTAGACAGAGGAATGCAGCACCTCTGGAGGCAGTGAGTTACTCCTGGCGTCCTCTCTGTGGTACAGCTGCAACGGTAATGGTCCTCATTATCAGCAAAGTCGCCAAATGATCAAATTATGTGGTAATATGAGAACCAACTGAAGGCTCACCTGAGGCCTCCATACTCTCCTGCTGTCGTAGAGAGGAGCATAAACACCATGAGCAGGAGCCAAAGGACCGTACTGAGGCTGGCCCGGGTGGGGATGGAAGGCAGGGGGTCCCATCCGGTCTCTGGGCGGGTGCGGCGGGTACCCAGAGGAAGAGGAGGAGGGCGGGTGCGGAGTTTGAGGGTCGTTCGGGTAAGAAGACGGTGGAGGGCCGATGGAAGGCGGCAGAGAGGATTCTGGGACATTGGAGGAGCGGAGGAACCGAGCCATGCAGGGTTTGTGAGGAGGGTGAAGGGTGGATGGGTAGTAGGAACCTGCTGGAGAGCAGGAGGGGAGGAAAGAAGAGCACCTTCGTTTGCATTTTCTCCAGACTATGATAAGACGGCGCACAGTGAGTTGTTACCAGTTCAAACTTCTCTTTAAAAATTAGACTCACAGGTTGGCTGGTAGTGGCCTGTGTCATACGCAGAGTGGGGCTCCTGGTAGTACAGCTCTGATGCCTGAGAAGGATGTGGCGCTCGCAGAATGAACTGACCATGTTTGGGTAGAGGAGCGCCGCCATCGGGCCGGCCCACCGTGGTCAGAGGAGACGACGCTGACGAGTGGCTGACTGGAGTCCTGGGAGGAGAGATGGCCTTCCTGATAAACAAAAAGAGCAACACACAAAAAAAAAAGAAAGAATCAACACACGACTGGCCCTCAGATCGAGGTTGAGACTTGCTGAGCTCACCAACAGCACATAAATGTTCATGAAGATCTGTTTCTCTGCCAAAAGTAGATGCAATATCCAACATGTGTAAATCCACACACACAGAAGCATTTTATACAGCTTCTTTTTTTGTTTACTAGTTAGTTGGACAATTTTTGATTCCACATGAATAGCAGTGTCAAATAACATTAACCCTGTGAAACTGTGAAAGGATGCTATCTTAAAACAAAATCAACCAAACTGCGCTATTTATCAGAACCAGAAATTGCTAGAATAAAAAAATAAATAAATCACAAATTTGGCGTTTCACAGTTTCTTGAACAACTCATCTGTGACTCAGCGTTTTATCAGAAAACATAACCAAGTCTTAGCTTAAAATCGTGATTGTTCATCGAAATCACTTCGACATTTTTAATTTAAAAAAATCACAGATTTGGTAAAAAACAAAACAAAACTAAAATTCTGTACTTCCCGGCACAACTGAGAAGCTACTGGTGACTCAGCACAGTGGCTCAAGGAAAATAAAATTGAAAAAAATTAAATATAAAAATAAATAAATAAATAAAAAAACGCTGTGCCCAAAAGTCAAATGACAAAAGATTTTTTTTTAAAATGGGCTTTTCAGCTGAGTTGGGTTGAACTGCAGGCTGTGTAATGTGGAAAGACGGAGGCAAAAACAATAAAATATACAAAAACATAGGCAGTCAAATATTTACAATATGCACATTCACCATTTCTTTCCAGCACTGGTGAAAAATGGGGGCACTTGCAAAAATGCTCTACATGCTAATTGCATTTTTTTTTTTAAATTTGATAAAATATATAATTAAAGAAATTGCACTTCCGATTTTTTCCTTTTTTAATGATATAGGGCATTGTAGGTGTGTCATATTGCACAGAAAACATCTGAGAGTTCTCCCTACTTCTAGCCGTGGCTGTGCTGTTTGTAAAGAGGTGCAGAACTTTATACTGCAGCGAAAAATGAGATCCAGAAACTGCTCCGGGTTCAAAAAGTTAAGCTTGCTCACAGGGTTAACAGAAGACGAACAAGCCTCATTGAACAAGCGGAAGAGTAGTCTTACTGTTCTGTCGACCCTGACGTGGTTCTGTTGGTGCCAGGTAGCCCGTTGGACCCATTAGCCCCGCTGGTTCCGTTCGGCACAGCTCTCTTCATCTCCTCCATCATGTCAGCCCCTCGTGAGATCAGCTGGGGGTGAGTCAAGCCGGGAACTCCCTCCGTCATGGTGGCTGGGTTCTCCCCGGTGCCTTTGAGGCCCTGACCCACTCCCGCAGACACGTCGGCGTGGATGCTTCCCTCCATGGTGAAGGTTTTATTCAGAACACCGGGACCTAAAGGGAATGCACGGCCCACGCTGCTGCCCTTCTTGTTCCTCAGTCTAAATCTGTGAAGCGAAGGAGGCGGGTCAGGGGGAAATTAAAGATCTGCTCGGAAAAGAAAAGAAGATCTTCACAAGTGTTTGGAAATGTGCATTGAATACAGTGTGTGTGGTTAAATGGGGGTGTCCCCAGCACTCTTGTAAATCACATCTTTAATCTATATTTACTTAATTTAAACAAAAAGGGATATTGGCAAAGATTGCATGAACTCAGGTGAGAGCAGAGAGAAGGGCACCGTGAATGCATCTTAATGTTACCTTCAGAAAAATCAAAGCCAGAAACTGTAAAAACAGGTCCTTGAACCAATCATGCATGACTTCCAGTTCAGTCGTAAAAACTAATTAAACTCTAGCTTAAAATTTGCCCTATTCTATTAATCATTTGCACAAAACGGATTCTGTAAAAACAACGATCTCTGTGCTCCTCAGTGTCAGTCGCATGAAAAAAATTAAGTAAAAATTAAAAATCTAAATAGTAAAATATGTTCAGGATGTCAAGACATCGTTTGTAACACAGGTGGGAACAAAACGCTGCTCATATTGATTCCAATTTGGGTTTTTTTTAAAATTCATTTTGTAAGATAAACAATCCATCCAGGATGCAGTTCAAAGGCAGGACGTGCGAGTGTTTCACTCACTTCTCCAGCTCGTCTTGCGTGTGTGCAAATGTGCAGTTGGTTCCTCGGGGGCAGCCTCCCTGCTGACGAAGGTCTCGGCACATGCTGGTCTTGTATTTGCTGTTGGCCTGAGGCTGCGAAATGCGAAGATACGACGACGTAGGTTAACAGTAAAATCGATCTACTGCTCGGACATCTTAGGTGAGGGGTGTCCGAGCTTTTCACATCCTGAAATGTACGTCTGTACAAACGGTGCACGAAGTCCTAACGAACGAAAACATAATGACTGCACAAAAAACACAACAGTCTG